GACCACCCGGATTGACATCTCTACTAACATGTCATGTCTTACTTTCATGAAAATCATGTGTCGGCGTGTTCTACATGTATGTTCGTGTTCATGCGCGTGCTCACTTGAGTAGATCCAACACAAAATACATGCGATACTCATTTAGTAGTAGTAGGAATAAAAATAATAACGGTGTTTACTCTAGAGGATCTTGTTCCAAAATGCGATTGTTTTTAGGTATCTAGGTTCGATTGCTATCATGGAAGTATAGACAAGGGTGTAATGCACACGATTAGGGCGGGTTGAACGATATGGAGAAGTTCCACTGGTGTCTTTTTTTTTGTTTTTGTGACGGGTATTCCATTAACGTTAAAAAGCAAGTTCTGCACAACAGCTATTAGATTAACTATACTTATCGTTCCAACAGCTATTAGATTAGCTATACTTATCGTTCCAAGTGTTGGGCTCATAAAAGCCAATTTGTCCATATATGTACAAAAATGAGGATACGAAGATGTATGTGCAGTAATTTTAAAAGGGATCAGATAAGAAATGTGAATTTTTGCCAACAATTAGAGACTGATGATTGACTATAAAGGGAAGGATAAATTAGGTTATTGGTTCATATTTTTTCTGTCTAGTGAGGTTTCCTTTTATGAAAGTGATGTGGTTTTAGCAAAGCAAGTTAGAAAAGCAAGGGGTAGAGACCAAGTGAACATAGCAAAATGATGAAGAAGGAATCATGTAGCCGATATTCCATATTTATTTGGAACAAGGCTTAGTTTGTTGTTGAGCCAAAATCAGATTGTTTGTCTTGAAATAGGTTTGTTGTACGTTAGAGGTTCCGGGATAATATATGTGAAGGAAATGCAGCAGGACCTTGTAGCTTCTAATTTTTATTTACAAACTACTAGTTGTACTCGGAATTGGAATTCGTATGTGCTATTGGAGTGCAAGATAATTTTGTACATGTTTTTCAAAACAAGCATATTGCTTATCATTCACAAATATTTGTTGATAAAATTTTATAATTTTATTGCTCACTTGTTAGGTTTTATATGCTTACATAATCTCTGCAAATAAATTATTGAAGAACTTACATTGAATTTCACCATTTTGTGCAGATGAAAAGGGAGATTAAAATATTACAGAATCTTTGCGGTGGGCCAAATATTGTGCAGTCAAAGATTTTAAAGTACCTCGTTTTATCCGTGTTCGCAGTTGGTGATGAATTCTGGAAACTGGAATTTATAACTATTGACAACCTCATTTGTTATCTGAACTTGAATGAATTTCACCAATTCATGTATTTATTTACGTTTACTTGTAGTAAAACAAAGAATTCAATTTCTAACATTCATTATTTTTTAGGCTTCTATCTGCTTCCCAATTTCAATTATATTATTTTTGGACAGTATAGCATGTAGCTTCAGATAATGCCCCTGTTTGAGCCCCATTATTCCAAAATTCACTTTTTTCTTAAACTCATTTTCAATTACATATTCTTCTAATAAAATAATTTGCACGTAAATTCGAAACTTTTCCTTACTTTTTAACCACGCATTCTTCGAAAAATCACTATTACAAAATCCATTTTTCGTGAAAAAGGGGCAATAATTGTTCCTCAGAGGACTACAGGATCTCGGTCCCTTTGCTGAAGAGCAACCTGTCAATGATCCCTTCTTGTTGACACAAGACAATATTCTTTGTTGATGCTAAATTTTGTTAAGAGTAGAATCAACTTTAAATGCCTACTGTCGGCAACATGATATCAAGATAGATATACATTATGCAGTTTCTAAGCATTAATAAAAAATGATGTGAAAATTGGATATCCTGGTAATGGAAGCAGATGATTTCCTCCTATGCCAGCTGCTGATCGACATTTTGAAGATGTTGGTCAAGAGCCAGAATTTGGCCAGCCACTGATTACAAGAAAATTCCTAAACTAATTGGGGCTTAAATTTCAATGCACTTCATCTTTCAGATACTTGATTGTGGATTTCTTGCTGCTAGAATTTGCTGTCAGTTATGCTAACAGTGAGAATTTGCTTTATTTGTTTAGTAAGAAGTTACGTAGGTCTCTTTACCTTTTTTATCTGTCCTTATTTCCATGTCTTGCCGGTGACCCTTTACTGTTTTTAAACATGAAATTCTGCGAAAGTGCTAATAGAATTCTCAGTTTCCTATACTTGTGTAGGCTCTAGATTATTGTCATTCTCAAGGTATCATGCATCGAGATGTGAAACCTCATAATGTCATGATTGATCACGAGCAACGGGAACTTCAGCGGGAACTTCGGCTTATAGACTGGGGACTTGCGGAGTTTTACCATCCTGGTAAAGAGTACAACGTTCGTGTTGCTTCTAGGTTTGCTATCTTCTCTCCAATTTAGTTTTCTTCCATAGGCCATGCGATCTTTGTCATTTTTTTCTTCGTACCCAACTTTTGTAGATAAAAAATTTAGGAAAGTGGGAGCTTCATGGTAACTTAACCTGTCTAGTGTTTTACATGGTAGTTGCGTTTTATACAACATAAATAATATCGCAAGTGTACAGTGTCAAGTTTTGTAATATATGATGAAATTAGAGTTTTGAACCGACGGGGATTATAATTTAATTTTATACTGAGTATTATAATTGTGCAACCTCTATTTTATCTAGATGAGTGAGTTTTTGAATCAATGTTTTATCTAAACTAGGGATTATTGTGACGAATTCAATGAATAAATACGAGTTATACGGATTAATCAATATAGGAGAGCCTATGATATGATTTCACCTAACTAAATTTTTAAAAACCTAGTTATCTCTAATCAATTTTCCATATTTATAAGTAAGAATCCTAATGTACAATTTTACCCCCTCTTTCAAGTGATGGGTAAAAATTAATCCTAGAAATTAATTCAAATATCTATATTCCGAATTAAAATCAAATTTTATCAAGATCGTGGGTTTTAGATGGAACAAGCTTCATAAATTCTACAGTTTCTCTCGAAACCCATAAAATCTAGGTTATGTTATTGTTGTGATTGCGCCTAAATTCCCATTTTTAAGTGGACTAACATCTAATCATTCAATTGGTGGCCAATTAATTGAAAACATTAAATCAATTAACACACGTAAACAGAAAGGAAAATTTCATAGAATTAACTAAATCAAAATTAAATTATATCCTCAAGTTTTGGCTAATCAAACCCTAGAAAAATTATTTAATTCATGGCATGAGATATGAAATCTATACAATTTATAAAGAGTAACATAAAGAGAAGAAAGATAAAACTATTTTTTGGATGGTTGAATCAATCTTCTTCGCCAATTTGCCTTTGCCTCTTTGATTTCTTGAATCTTGACTCCTTTGAATTGTAATTAAAAAGTGGTCTTTATGGTTGTATTTATCCAACCGAGCTTGGTGTACCGGGTGGGGGTTGACCGAACCCCCACCGGCACCTCACAATAGGGGGGTGGGTGGGATTTTTTGTGCAATTTTTTATTACATGCGGAACCCACCCATGTGAGTTATATGTATAAATTCTGTCAACCCACTTCGGTACAAGTGGCTAATTCCGTATTTATATCATCATGAAGTTTTGGAAGGGTTGGGGTCGGTTTGGGCCAAGAAAAGAGTCCAAAAAAATGAGAACATTATTTCCGCACGACGGCTCCTCGGTGCTGGCATCACGCTGCGACTTAGCTTCTAGCGTCACTGCTGCGCCACACATTCTTCTGCTTCTTCTGTTCTTCTGACGCTGCAGAACTCTACCCCTTTTTTTTTCTCCCAAGCCATGGCGCTACGGCGTCACTTTTCTGACTCTTTCTTCCCATCTTTTACACCTTTTTTCCCTACTTCAATCAACCTATATCACAACATCAAAACACACATAAATATATTCTAAACAATCTCAAGAACAGCTAAATAACAAGCTAAAGTGGTATTAAAACAATGAGTGAAATACATTCATCAATAGGTTAGACTGAATTCTTGAGAATTGTCTTTTGTTAACTTGATATCTAACACGCACATCCAATGTACACAGATTTAGAGGATTTCTCATTAAGTCTCCCAGGATGAAATCCACATTGGGGTTTGATGTGGAAAGGTTCACTGTTATTTATAAATTTTTGAGCTTCAAATACAGTGATTTTGCAAGTTGCAACATTTATAGCTCGTTCACTGTTATACATGCGTGATAGTTCTTGCTCACTTAGACTGAACTTTTGAGAATTTTCTTTTGTTATTTTGACATTTTAGTAACACTTCCATCATAGAGGACAGCTTTAGAGTATCTCTTATTAAGCCCTTGTTTGGGGTAGATTAAAATCAGATTTTTAGTCGATTTTAATAAAAGTTGATGAAATGTGTGGTTAAAAAGTTGTTAGTTTCGTGAAATGTGTGGTTAAAATTAATTGTTGACTTTAACTTGAGATTTTAATTTGATTTTAATCCAAACCAACCAGGGGCTAAGTCTCTTAAGATGAAATTCAGAGTGGACTTTGATACAAAAAAGTTTTAGGATTTATTTTTAATTGTTGCAAAAGGACTCCGGCACAGAAATTCAGACCCGTCCAGGGGCTACTCTTAGGTGATGGTTTTGGTTCTAAAACTGCATTCGATTGATTGAACGAATTTGACTGACAGTTCCATTGAATATGGCCAAAATGATTGCAATCTGTAGTTCAGTTCCAAAATATTATCTTCATTAGTAAATCTAATAAGTCTTGGCTAGCTTCTTTAACTTTTCTTTTTCCCTTCTGAAACTATATTTATAGATTAATTCTTGGCTAGGCTATTTAAATTTCAGTACTTAATTATCAAACTTGAGTAAAAATAACTAACAAGGCTATATGGAATCAATCCACTTTGTACCTCTCTATTCATTATCTGTTGCTGGCACATATTTATAATTTGCTCGGTAAATCATTTTTTATCCATACATCGAATTCATAATCAGCTTAGAAAAGGTGTAAGAAAGCAACTAGGCTAGCTAGAATAATGCTACTTGCAGTCGCTTACTACAACAGTC